CCCCCCCCTCCCCCATGGAGAATGGCAGACCTGCAGGCTGCATACAAGTGATCTCAGCCACATCGCCGGGATCACGTGTACAAAACAAGCTGCGGCTTCCCCCGCGGTACATTTATCTCTGCTTGCCCAAAGCCGGGCTAAATGTAGAAAATAACTACCCGCCCGGCGGCCGGAACTGCATGTCTCAGGCATCGGGAGATAGGAATTCTACACCCCTGCTGCCCCTCTACTCCCTGCCGCCCCTCTACTCCCTGCCGCCCCTCTACTCCCTGCTGCCCCTCTACTCCCTGCTGCCCCAATGCCGGCCTCGGTTGGCCTTGTGGGAAAAGCAGCCCTGAAGGCCAATATCCCAGGAGGTCGGATCTGTTAGACAAACGTGATATATAATATACCCGGGTTAGCCATTTTCTACATGTGTATGGTTTAATGGTCTCTGGTTCTTTCTCCAATGTTCACCAGGTATCTGCCAGGAGGGTAACTAGCATTGCCCTGGTTAACGCCAAAGACCTTCTGGCTGACACTGTGTGTCGGGTCTTAGCTGCCTCTGACGCATCCCAACGCTATTTGGGGCCATGTATTTCTTGGGTTCTCCTGCGTCATTGGGCCTAGGACAACTGGCCACGGGCACTCAGGATCGGCAGTGAGAAGATGCCACTGGTCAGGTCCAGGCCGTAGAGGACAGTTGTGTCGGTAACAGTGAAGAGAGAGAGAGAAGCCCGGCAGCTGAGGGTGACGGCGGGGTTGCTGTTGGTACAGTTGAGAAGGCTGAAGCTATGGACGGAGGTGCCGATGGGGGAACTTTCTTTGATGGACACCGTATCCGGCAAGGAGAGGAACTCCACTGCAAACAGAAGACACAAAGAATGGGGGGTAATCCCCTGGTGACATCACAATAGGTTGAACTCCATGGACTTGTGTCTTTCTTCAACCTGACTAACGATGTAACTATGTCACCCTCATGCGTCGCTTTCCTGTGTTTGAGCCGCACGTCAATAAGAATATGTGGCCAACACACCTCAGCCTCCTGCAATCATATGGACGTCATGGTCAGTGCGCCGTGCCATGAAACGTGATGCTTCAGCACCCCCAGGGGCCCCTCCATCGTGTAAAGTCACACGGCCTGGTGAAGGGAACTCTGGTGGTTCCAAAACATTGTAAGTGATCAGAAACCACACCGTCCATGTTGTTCAAGTTAAAGAAATAATTGTCTTGGCTGTTCTGATAAAACCGAGAATAAAGTATTCTCTCATATACCCGGGTGTCACCATTGGAGAGGTGACACCAAAATGACTATCAGTCACCCCCCTATGAAAAGTGGGGCACTGGGTCACGGACCGAGAGCCCGACGGTGTCAGGAGAGAGGCGGGGACCCGGCGCCATACCTCATCCCGCCGGGTGAACATCCCCTCCTCCCTCTGCCGGCGTCCACCACCAAGATGGCCGCCAGCAGGCGTCAATAAGAAAACATCGCGTGTGGGATGAAGTCATCGCGCACACGGGCGGCAGAGACCGGGTGACACCCAGCCTCGGGACGCCCCTGCCTCCAGTGCTGGTGCCGGTCTCTGATCCAGCGCAGACTGCTGTTTCTTCCTGTGTCCCACGGAGTCTGTCCGGCGTGCACGCTCCCGGCTGCGTGCATTTACTAGTATTGTGTCTCCCTTCCGGTGATGTGGACTGCGCATTGCGCCTGCACACACTTCCTCCTGCGCGGCCGTTCGGGAAGATGTGATCTGCAGCCGGGAGCGAGCGGCGCAGACCTGGGTCATGCTGCGGCGTTGCATCTCCGGCTCGCTAGCAGTACATATATGTCATAAAACAGAGACCTTTAATTCTCCGGCTGAAAGGCTCCCTGACAGCGCCGGTCTCACCTGCAGATTGTAGACGGGGCCGGCGGAGACGGTCTGTGTCGGGGTGTTGAAGTAAGTGGCCGGCGGGATGACGGCGGTGATGGTGACGGCGGGGTTGCTGTTGGTACAGTTGAGAAGGCTGAAGCTATGGACGGAGGTGCCGATGGGGGAACTTTCTTTGATGGACACCGTATCCGGCAAGGAGAGGAACTCCACTGCAAACAGAAGACACAAAGAATTGGGGGTAATCCGCTGGTGACATCACAACTCAATTCAGGAATATAAAAAAACACAATTTTTCTTAAATAATCATTATAATGGGACTTTTGACTTACCGGAAC